GCTAAGTCCATTTGTTAGAATATGTGTTGTAATTCTAATATTTCATTATTGATATTTTGTCTAGTTGATCTGTCTTTGTGACAGTGGTGTAGTGATGTCTCCTATCATCAGTCTAAGCTTGAGTTCACATTGTGTATAAACAGAATAGCTGCCTCTGCTTTTTTCCAGGTTTCTGTCACGTACAGTATTGTTTTCCATCTTTTTTTTTTTTTTTTTTTTTTGTCTTTTTTGTTTTTATCAGTACCAGAGATCGAACTCACGACTGCCTGCTTGCAAGGCAGGCACTTATGCTGCTGAGCTAAATCCCCAGCCCCTTGTTTTCCATCTTTCGATTTTCAGTCTGTGAATTTCTTTTTGAGTTAAATGCGGTTGTTTTTGTGTGTGTACATTTAGCACATTTTTGGATTGTGCGTCTTGATCCCTTCTGCCAGTTTATTTCTGCCAGTGAGCTGGTTATAACTGATGCGCATGGACTTAGCCTTGTGGCATTAGCTTTCTGTTGTTGGCTCCCTTTCCCCGCCCCAGCTAGTTATCAGCCTCATCTGGTGGCTTCATTCTGTAGGATGCATGGGGTTGTAGCCCTTGTTTTCTCTCTCTAGAATGTCCTTCAAAGCATCTTGGAGTGCTGCTTTGGTGGTTATGAACTTCCTCAGGTGTTCTTTGTCATGGAAGTGTCTTATTTCTCCCATCAGTTTTGAAAGATAGTTTTGAGGGGGACACCAGGTGTTTTCTTTTCGGGCTTGAGATGCTTCGCTCCAGTCTGCTTGACCTAATGGTGTGTGTTGAGGAGTCTGCTGGGATTCCCTTTAGAGGTGATCTGTTTCTTTTCACTAGCAGCTTTTAGATTCTGTTCTTTTTGAATTTCTAGAATCCTGACTATTGTATGCCTAAGTATAGACCTTTTTTCTTTTTAATCATGGTTAATTGGAGTTCTGTATGCTTTGCTTACTGTATGTCAGATTCTTTTTCCTGCGTGGGACTTTTGCCTTGAGGTCTGAGTGTGGTGTTGTATCATCGGTGCCGCTCTGCTTTGTCAGGGACTGATCCACCTTAGGTTATTCTTCTTTGTATCTTACAGCAGCTGCTGGACTGATTTCTTGTGGTCCCTTGCTATTTTTAAGATATCTGTCTTTTCATGATCACTAACCTCAATTCTATCTTCTACATCTGAGATTCTGTCCTTACATTGGCTCATTCTGCCGTGTGTGTGTGTTCAGTGGACGTTGTAGTTGGTCTGAATCTGTGTGACTCTGTTTCGTGGATGCTGTGTCTTCGCTGTGTGACTGTCCATGGTTTCTCGGCTCCTCTCTTTTTTTTTTTAACTTTGTCTCTGCCCTCGAATCACTAACCATGTCTCTCTCATCATGGTCCCCATCTCTGGGTTACCTGAGAAGTTGTTTCTCATTTGATCTTCCCTAGAGCCTCTGATGAGGTCTGTAACTTCCACTGCTATCACTTCCGAGCCTAGGTGGGTGGCTTTTGGGCTTTCCTGCTCGCTGCCCCTGGGTTTGTCTTTGGTGAGCTGGAAGTCTGGGCTTGCATCTGTGTCTTCTCATTTTCTGTTTTTCTTACTTTGCAAATTGTAGTGTGATGCCTGCAAATTGCCCGTGGCATGTGGCCTTCCTGCTAGTGTTTAGGACCCTGAAGAGACAGCTGCTTCTCAGAGGAGTCTTTCAGGTGTGGCTGGCTCTTGTGCTATGAGTCTCTTGCAAGGTCTTGCCTCTCCGAGTTACTGGGATGAGAAGTTGCTGCCTGCTTGGCCCAGCCCCTGGCTCTTCGGCACTGGCCAATAGTGTTGTTCAGGACTCCTCAGCAGTCTCAGTGTTGGTGTACCGGGAAGAACAACTGATTAGAACAGTTACATCACTTTGGCAAAGTGGTCAGTCAGCAGTAACATTAGCGTCAAACCCAGAGGCCAGGTTTTTTCGTGTCTCTACCGCCACTTGAGAGTATGTGCACTGCAGGAGCAGACCTGAATATCCAGTTGTCCTCTGCCAAGTCAGACGGAGACTAATTAACAAGCTAATGTCATCTTCACTTTGTTCTGCAAAATAATTTCTCAGCTAGACTCGGTGCACACAGCTGTGACTGCCACTGCTCGGCAGGGTAAGGCAGGAGGTTCATCAAGTTTGAAGTTAGCCCCTGCAGCTTGGCAAGACCCTGTCTCAAGACAGAAAAAGCCCTGGCTGTGTGGGTACACAGCTGTAATCCCAGCATGGCCGAGGCAGGAGGGTCACAAGCTCAGGCCCAACACGGGCATCTTGGCAACATAAACTCTGGAAGAATGAAGAGGGCTGGCGAGGCCTAGGGCTTCGTCTCCAGTGCTGCAAGGTGAAACGCCGCTGAGGTAGCTCAGTGTGGAGCTTGCCTGGGCCGTGTGAGGCCCTCGAACTCAGTCCTCACTGCCAAAAGAAAACAGCAAAACAATTCAAAGCAGTCATGTTACAAGTAATGAACTTTTGTTTTTAAATGTATTATTTAAATAGTTTTAGTTTCTGGTCTAGGCTGTAGCTGTTCTGAGAGATACAGCTCGGATCAAAGCAGAGCGTCTCAGCTGTAAGAGTGTAAAAGTGTCGTGAGACTGACCGTGCCGGGCCAGAGTTGGGCACGCAAAGCTGCGCTAGAGGCCAGGCTGGAGCCGGAGCCCTCGCTCGGGTCCTGCCGCACAGGCTGTGTTTCCACCTTCGTGTGGCCCGGGGAATCGCTCAGACACGCCAGTGATCCTGTCACCTCTTCTGAACCAGGAACACTGGAGAGCTGTCTGCTTCCCAGGGCTACATCGCCCACCAGAAAGGAAAGGGGCAGCCTCGGTTTTCATCACAAGGGGTCCCCGTGGGACGGCTCTGTGTTCAGCTGCGCGGTCACCCTTCGGCTGTGTTGTTCTGAAGGGCACTTGGCAGGCCCCTGCTGGGAGCCACCTCTCCCTCTGCATGTCCACCCCCTGCAGCCTCAGATCCCAAGGGCTGTGAGCAAAGGGGGCTGGCGGCAGAGTCCTGCCTGCAGCGTGCTCACTACCTGCACTCGCCTCGGGCCACCTGTCTCCACGGCTCAGCCTCAGGTCTAACTAGAATCCTGGGAATGCGAGCCAGGACCTCTGGATTTCACTTTCCTCCGCTGAACTGACCCTTACGTTTCCTTTGAAATGTCAGGTCCATTGTGAAATCTGCTTTGAATTTCTCTGAATTAAGTTAACGGAGCAGAGGGGCCCGGAGGCCCCGCCTCACGCACCACTGGTTCCTGTCTGCCTGGCACCCTGGGACAGGGCGCTTCCTCCACGAGGATTAACCCACAGTGAGCCCCAGCAGCACATGAGTGTGGGAGCCTGGGTCTCAGTCTCCGGGTGGCTCAGGGTCTTGTGATCCTCCGCAGTCCTCCGCCTTGGTGGAGCTCATGTGGTCATTAACAAGCCTGAGGAGTCACTTGCTGTGCTGTAGGGAGAGGGCGCAGGCTCCCTGCTGAGGCGGGTCTTCTGTCGCTGGGAGCCTGCAGGTTAGCAGAAGCCTCTGTAGGCCAATAACACGCAGTAAGGGGGCAGGAATCCTGAGCACAGACAGCAGAGGTCAGAGGGTGCGGGCGCTGCAGGAAGGAGGGTGTGAGGGCCACGGGCTCCTGCCGGTCAGCTGCCTGGGCTTCCGAGGGCAGGGCAGGGCCTTGTGCTCCAGCCCAGCTCATCCTCTGCAGAAGAGGAGGGGTCTGCAGTGAGGCGCCCATGCCTGCCCGGACTGGGCACCTTCATGACACCCCCCCCCACACACACACAGCTGCCTCTGGAGGTCCCAGCCCTTTGGTTTGGGACATGGAGACTTGGTTATCTCAGCCCATCCACTTCCAGGGAAGGGGAGTCCTTCATGATTAGGGCCTCGAAGTGCCTGCCCTGGAGCTGGGTTTGGGGTGGGTCCAACTCTCAGTATCGGCCGTTACACTAGAAGCATTTACCTGCAAGGCATGAGTACCCCCTACTCGGCACGTGTGCTGTTGACAGCCCTGCTTGACAGGACCCCTCCTCTGCTGCCCAGCTTGTCTCGGGGTGATGGTGACCTGCAGTTTTGCCTCTTTCAGCTGTCCCCATATTCACATTCCAGGCCTCTCCTTTCTTTGTGCCTTATGACAGGGCCTCCGGAGGTTTTGGAGGAGAAGCCTCAGGCTCAGTGATGGAGGAGAACCGCATGTCGGGGTGGAGTCCCCAGGATTCTCTGTCGCACAAGGCTGGGATGCTGTGTCCGGTGCTTGTGAGCTGTGTCCATCCTAAGGCACCTCCAGGCTTGCCTGTGTCAGAGACCTGAGGCTGTCCTGTGCTTGGGCCCAGGGCTGCAGATGGGTGCTGTGGCAGCTGTGGTGCACAGCGGACAGCCCCTGGCTGCACCCTTCATATGGAACATGATCCATTTCAAGGTTGGTCCCCGCTGGGAGGAGAGGGGAGGCACTCCTGGTGAGGCCTCTGAGCAGCCCCACAGGCAGTGTCTCTGCGTGCGTTTAGCTTGGAGGCTGAGTGCATCACTTCTGTGTCTGTGGGTTGGGGTGTCGTGTGCCTCTGTGTCTATTTGCTTTGTGTGTGTAGTTTACAGTGCTGTGTGTCTGTGTGCATGTGTGGTCCGTGTGTTTCTATGCAGCTTAGGGGTCTCTGTGCTCTGGTGATTGCAGTTTTTGCACCTCTGCATGGGGCCTTTGTGAGTTTCTCTGTGTCCTGTGCTGAGATTCTCCACAGGCAGAGCCTGGGCTTCAGCCCTGACAGTTGCAGGGGATGGCTCTGGTGGGGAGCTTTTCAAATGCAGAACAGAACCTTCACTCGTGTGTATCTTCCTGATTCTGCCTTAGGCAAACACTCGCCTCCAGTGCTGAGTGCGGACCCAGCTTCTGGGGGAGCCCTGGGATGGATGGTCTGGCCAGCTTTGGTTTGGGAGCCTGTGCTCCCCAGGGAGCTCTCCTCACCAGGGAGCTCTCCTGAGGCTCCTGGGCTGGTGCCTCTCACTGTCCCGGCCCTGCAGGCCACCCACGTGACAGCGCCGGGATGGGCGTGGCCAGGGGCACGGGAGGGGTGGGGAGCTGCAGTGAACCTCAGCCCAAGGGGCATAGGCAGCCGGCAGAGGCTTCGGCTTCCTTCAAGGATTCTGCTTCATTCACCCTTAAAGTCGCTTCACTCTCCAGGAAGATCAACACATTTTCAGGTAAAATGTGAGTGCTTTGCTACCTGAGGAGAAGTGATGAGACAGCCTGTTTCTGGGGAGCGGTTTAAACAAGTCCATGTGAGCCCTTCTTTGTGAGTGTGTGGGCATAGGGAGTGGGGAGGGGGTGGTGGTGGGCAGGACCGGGGACGGAACCCCCGCCTTCTCACTGCGGGCTCATCCCCAGACCTTTCTGTTCTTTGAGACGGGGTCTTGCTGAGTTGCAGAGTTGCCCACTCTGGGCTGAAACTTGTGGTCCTCCTGCCCCAGCCTCCCAGAGTACTGGCATTGCAGGTGGACACAAGTTCTTATCAGGGAAATGTACGAAGCCTTTGAGCTTGGGTGGCCCGTGTGAGCACACAGGTTGCCGTTACACAGTATTTCTGAATCTAACGTGGCAGCGGCAGAAGCCTCTGTCCTGAGACCCTGGCTCCTGGGCTCCATCCCGGACAGCTGGTGAGGGGTGTTTGGAAGCTCGGGCAGTGGGTGGCAGCCGGACCTTTCTTGGGAATGGAATGCATGGCTGTGAGAGCAGTTAAATCCCTCCAAGCGGCTTCCTTACCGCTGGTCACACAGTGAAATAAACGGGCTTTCAAGCCAGGCCTTTTCTAAGGCCATGTTAAGCACAGGGTTCCGCATGTGTGGGCATTCGGTGATTAAGACCCAGGATCAGCCCTGGGCCTGGGAACCTGGCAGCCCACCCAGGCGCCTCTCAAGTGCCAGACCTTTGAGAAGTGTGACCTGGACAGCTGTGCTCATTCTACTCGGTGAGGTTGAGGGCAGCAGTGGGTGGGTGGGCAGCTGCCGTCCCTGACCACCTAACTGTTGGGGGGCCTGACCTGTGCAGTGGCCAGGTGCCCAGGCACTTGCATGTGTGTGGCCTGATCACCTCACACGTGAAAGCCACGAGCAGTGAGTAGGCTGCTGAGGATGGCAGGGAGCTGCTGGTCGTGGGCACTGAGCTGACACGCAGGTGAGACCGGCTTGGGAGCCCGCTCCCGGGGCTTCCTCACAGGGTGAAAGCACCAACACGTCTGCCCTGCAGAGCACAGGGCTGGCTTGGATAGAGGGGAAGACAGAGCCTTGCTGACCTGGAGCCAGGCCACGGGGAGGGGAAGCCCTGGGTCATACACGTGGCTGGAGCAGCCCTGGCTCCAGCAGGCTGGGGCCGTGGGACCTACCCAGCCTTGGGGCGCAATGGCCCCTCAGTGCCCTTCGGGGAGCAGGGAAGCGGCTGTGGCCCGGTGGCCCGAGATGATGGGGATGGGGCGTGGGGTGGGGGAGGGGGGCCTTGCACAACCTGTGTGCAGGGACCCAGCCCGCAGCCGGATGGGCTCTGGTGGCCCTGTGGGAAGCTGTGGGAGCCTCTGGGTACTGCCCTTCCGAGCCGCTGGCTGACCCTGATTCTGCTGTTGGTTCTGGTGGCCCGACCCAGCTGGAGCTCCAGAGCCTGCGCAAGAAGGTGGCGGGCTGGGGAGGCCCGGCAGGAGGGCGCCCCAGAAGCTGGGTCCCAGGACTGCTTAGGCTTATGAAGAAACCACTGTCACATGATGGACCTATACACAGGCCTGGGGCTGCCACACAGGGCGCACTAATGCACTTTTTTTTTTTTTTTTTTTGCACTAATGCACTTTTGCAGAATCAGATTTGCAAAAACAAATGTATAAGTCAAGAGAGAATTCTATACAAGCCTCCATGCAGCGTATACCTCTGACATTGCAAATGACGGCACAGCATCAAAAGTGCATCGGGGATGTGTGGCCCAGTGAGGTCACATGTGCAAGGGCCCTGTTTCAACCCCAGCATCACACACAGTGCACACACCACAAATAATGCTGGAAGTATAAAATGGCTAGGAAAAAACTAAAGAGACCAAACACAAACATTCAACACCTGCAAAAGTTGGCCATGGTGGCGCACACCTGCAATCCTAGCACTTAGGAGGCCGAGGCAGGAGCATCTCTGTGAGTTTAAGGTTAGCCAGGGCTGCACAGTGAGTTCAAGGCCAGCCTGAACTGCACAGTAAGACCCCATCTCCCAAAAAGCAACAGCAAAAGACGTGACAGGGATAGATTATGGGCAAATGCATGAAGACAGCCCTAAGTCCTTTATGAATTTCAAGATAGTGAACTACAGCTGCAGTTTCACATTAAGATGAGTAGGTTCTTAGGGGTTGGGGATTTAGCTCAGTGGCTCAAGCGCTTGTCTGGTAAGCACAAGGTTGTGAGTTTGATCCTGGTACCAAAACCAAGCAAACAAACAAAGCATGTTTAATCTAAGATGAATAGGTTCTTTCAGGGGATGGCCTTCCTTGGAAAATATATTCACACTCATTTTCTGTGTGATGTTGCTGTTTCTGAAATCCTTCTGTGACTCAGTATTCAGTGACACGAGCGTTTCCTGTTACGATTTCCCAGCCTCTGAGAAACCCATTCGTGTGCCGACCCAGGCGGCAGAAACAGCACAGGGCGAGGGCAGCACCGTGGTGTTATCTTCTTAGCCGCTGTGCACCTGATTATTTTCAAGTAAGTCAGTAACTGCTTTAGACACGCGGACTTCTGTTTTCTTTCTTTTGTTTGTCTCACCGTGTAGCCCAGGCTGGCCCTGAACTCACTGTGTGGCCCACTACAGCCTCGAGCTCACGGTCGTCCTGTCCTGGCCTCCCCAGGGCTGGCACAGATCTCCGGCTCTGACTCTAGTTTCCTAAACACTGCTAGAGTTCAGCGGCTGGAAGGGATGCTGACGGACAAGTGGCGCCTTTAAACTTAGTCCTCATCAGTCCCGTTCCCCATAACAACCAGCATTCATGTGAATTTTTGTCAAATGTATTGGGTGAAATGAAAAAGAAGCTTCGTCGGATTCACCTTTACAAGCTTTGATCAGACGTAATTCCAGCCTGTCGTTACGATTCGGGAATTCAACTGAAACGCATCTTCTTCAGTGCGTCTTCAAGTAAGCCTTTACAAAGAGTCTTTCTAGTCATTAAAGATCCAGGAATGGGCAAGTTCTAGAACTTTCAGGACCAACGAGGGCATTAATTGTATGTAGTTGATTAAAGAAAGAAACTCTAGGGCCAGTTTGAAAATGCCCAGGTAGGCCGGCCTGGGTGTCCGCTTCGGGCCTGCTGGTGAAGACGGGCGTCTGTCCCCCCGCGGTTGGATTTCCGCTCCCTCTGCACCTCCAGGAGGCTGGTTCAGAAGCGAGCAAACTCGTCAAATTCTTCTGCTTTCTGACAAAGTATTTTTTTAAACAATAAGTGCGGTGCTGTGAACACAAAGCCAGAAATCGTACAGAGCTGAATAATTTGAGCGGGAGAGAGCTTGCGTTTCTCACTTGTGTTTTGCAGCTTTGCTCTTAGACACGCGCTTTTATTTGCAGAGTGGTTTTGGCCTGCAGTTTCTGGTTATGCGCTGGCCACCCGGAAGCCCATGAAGGCGGCGGCTGGAGCTCTGGACAGGCTCTTGCCCAGCACGAGGCTGAGGCCAGTCCTCCATGTGGCGGCAAGAAAGCCTGATGGGTTGTTACAGCTGAACGGTGTTGTCTTCATAGCTTTCACACCTTTAGCTAATTGTACACTCGTAACGCGGCTTCCAGCAGCACCACTGCGCGAGCGGGGTGGCCCACAGGGGTCCCCAGGAGGAAGTAAGGTTTCTCCAGGAAATAATTCCACTAAAACAGCCTGGGGATGGAATTCACTTAAAGTCCCCAGGACATTCAGGACTAACCTGTGACTGACCGGGCCATGTAGGTGCTTCCACCGCAGGTGTAAAGCCAGGCCCCGTCCTGCGGGGACGCCTGCCTCAGGGTGCAGCCCCCTGCCTCCTCCTGCCTCGGCTTCCTTCCCACTGCTGCCCTCTCCGTGGGGCACGGGGAGGGGGCGCCCCACGCCCCAGCCTGGAGCCCCAGCCTCGCAGCCCCTGCTGCCCCCCACCCCGCTGGGGCTGCAGAGATCCAGCCCTCCCTGGCTGTGCTCCTCGCACCCAGGGCCGCTCTCGGGAGCCCGAGGGCTACTGCAGTTTAACAACGGGAAAAGGAGACGCAGCGGGACGGCTCTCGAGGCGCGGGGCCGGGGTTCTGTGTGAGCCTTTCCCTTTATGTTTTAGGGTATGGGCTTTTACAGGTGGTATTCCTGGATTTTTCACTTTTAATTTTAAAACTTTCACTAGCGTGTGTGTTTGCAGTCTGTACAAATGGCAATCCCTGCGTGGAAACGGTGCGTGTACAGAGCACATCTTAATTCCCTCTATTTCCCTTCCCCCGCAGGCTCATCTTTATAAACATGTTTTTGTCAGCATCAGACTTTATGTCTTTGCCAAATTAATTGTCATAAATACAGATTAAGTCAGGCTAATGAAACAAAAACATGTAAAACACTTACACAGAATCAAGGTACACTTCTAGATACATTGGCCATATGGGTTGATGATAACTTTTTTCTCAGTTTTTCTATTGTCTTTTATTTTGTAATTAATTTATGTTGGATTTTTGTATAAGAAAAACCATGTGATATTTAAGCTTGTGCTTGTCACTTATCTCACTTAATATGATCTCACACTGCACCCACTTTCCTATAAATCCTCATTGATCCTTGTTTATGGCAGAGTAGTACTCCACTGTGCAAATACATTTTCTTTATCCATTCACAAACATATCGTCTGCTTCTAAGGTTGAGCTGTTCCGAATTGTGCTGCTGCATACAGTTGGCATCCATCACTGTGACATGATGTCTTCTAATTTTGGGGGGAAGACACCTCGAAGGGTAATACCTGGATCAAGTTTTAGTTTTTGAGGAATCTCCACACTGATTTCCGTAGTGGTTGGAGTAGTTGTTACTCCCACCAACCCCTGACCCTGATTTCTGCAGCATTTGGTTCTTGAAGGCAGCCACTTTCTGGAGTGAGCTGGAATCTCAGTGTTTGCATTTCCCAAATATAAAATGTTTGATGTTAAACATTTCTTGGTGTGTGTGTTGACTGCTTGTACTTCACAGAGAATCGGGTATT